TAAATAAATATAAAGTCCACTGCAAGCCAGGCACAGTGGCACATACCTGCAATCCCAGCTACATGGGAGGCTGAGACAGAAGGATCACAGGTTTGAGTCCAGCCAGGGAAATGTAGTAACTCAGCAAGACCCTGTTTCAAAATTTAAAAAGGGCTGGAGGGCCGGGGATTCAGCTCAGTGGTTTTGTCGCCTGACTTGACAGCGCAGGGTCCTGGGTTCGATCCCCAGTACCAAAGGGCTGGAGATGTACTCAGCGCAAAGACCCTGGGTTCCATCCCTAGTAGCCCCACCAAAGCCAGTTACCCACATTTCACTAGCAAATCCTTCTTCAAAAACTACTGAAAAAGTGCCACTGCTGAAAATGTCCGCAGCCAGCCTAGGTACGCAGAAGGCTGCAAGCCTAGCCTGAGCAACATACTGTAACCTTGCCTCAAAATTAAAGGCTGAGAATGAACCTCAGTGGTAGAGTACTTGCCTGTTATGCCTAAGGTCCTGGGTTCGACACCCAGTACTAAAAACAAAACAGAACAAAAAACTCACAAATAAATAAAAATAAAATGAAAAGGGCCTGGGATGCAGCTCAGTGGTAGCATGTTTACCTTGCTTGTACAAGGGCTTGGGTTCAATCCCCAGTACTGGGGAGAAAAAAAAAAAAAAGAAAGCCCACAATAATAACATGGTGGGAAGGAGGCCCTGTTGTCACAGGGGCTTGTGAGGGCCTGAGCCTGCATCCCGGGGGCCAGCTGTGGCAGGACTCCCTACCTCCCCAATGAGAGCAGGAATTGAGATCTGCCATGATCAATGTTTCCTTTTTCTTTTTAGTTGATTTTATTGTTTGCTGAGTGGCCCTGGACCCAAGGTAATGGCAGCCTTCCTTGAATAATTCAAGACCAGAGTTGGGCTGGGGGTCTGGGAGTTGGAATCTCCCATCTCCATTTCCTAGCCTTCTTTACTCACTGAACCTTCTTACAGCTTCATGAAGAATCCCAGATGAGAAAACAGAGGTCAAATTTATGTGTGTGTGTGTATTTTTTTTTAATCCTAAAAATGTATGCCAAATATGGGTTAAATAATTTGCTAGAGATCACAGCTTCTAACTGGGAAATTCCAAATTCAAATCCAGTGAACCTGAGTTCATCAAGTATGGACCAGGGACCAGTGGCAGCATCACCTGGGATCTGGGAGATAACAGTAATCTTAGGCCCCAAACCCAGACCTACTGAATTAGGATCTGAATTTTGACATGATCCCTGGCTGATACATAAGCACATAAAAGTTTGAGAAGGGTTGCTTTAAACCACAATGCTAGACTGTGATCGAAAGTGCTGGGCCAGCTCAGCATGAAGGAAGACAGAGTCTATTCATTAGAGGAATTTAGAGCAGAGAGCAGGCAGATCACAGGTAGAACGCACTCCACTGAAGCGTCAGACTATGGGCACTACAGGCTCCTCCAACTCTCAGTCCCCACCACTGGACACGCTGCCTGGATTGTTTTAAGCTCAGCAGTGAGTTTTATACCCAACAGAAGTTTTGGTTGTTTGTTTTAAACAAATACACTTTATATTTTAGAGCAGTTTTGGGTTCACAGCAAAACCGAGCAGAAGGTACAAAGAGTTCCTACATAACCCTGTACTCACATTCACAGCCTCCCCCACTATCCGCATCCCACACAAGCGGTACATTTGTTATCATCGATGAGCCCACCGCAATACAACATTACCCAAAGTCCACAGTTTACATTAGGGTTCACTCTTCCGACAGGATTCTAACTCTGCACGGAACATGTATTAGGGATACAACAGGATGTCTGGCCGCTTGAACCCAACAGCCCTTTTGAATACAAGTGCCTCCAGGTCCGACAGCAGCCAGAGGCTGATGATCTGGCTCTTTGCTCGCAGCTTCCCCAACAGTGCACCATTCTTGGGCTGCTCTGCTGGTCTCCCTTTGAGATGGAGTTAAAAAGACCAGAGCCAAAAGGGCCACAGCTTTGAAGGGCAGAGCAGTGGAGAGAGGAACAGTGAATTAGGGGCAAAAACTGCCTCCTCTCCAGCTACAAGCCAGGTCGGGATCCATGGCAACCCCTGCCCCCTGGACCTGAAGCTCAGCCACATCTCCAAGAGTTCTGGTTCCCACCAGAAGCTGGAGAGATCAGCCAGCCAGTGCTCCCAGGACACAGTTCTGACTCACCCTTCTTGCTGCCTGGCCCTGACCCTGGAATTGGTCCTAGACCAAAAATCCTCAAGACCTGTGAACACTGGTGAAATGGAAGCGTGCTCCTAGGCAATCCAATGCCGGTGCCCACAAAGTGACTGCTCAGCTCTCACTGCCTTCCTTCCTACAGTGCAGACACCTGGGATGGGCTATTCTTCTTCTGCCTTTATTCTGAGCTAGGGGTAGGTGGTAAAAGGTAAGGATGACAGACCAAGCAAAGTCTAAAAGGTCAAATGTGTGTGCGTGTGTGTGTGTGTGTGTGCGTGTGTGTTTATTTATTTTTTTAAATCCTAAAAATGTATGATAGAAGGCTAGGACGTTTTTCTGCTAACACCCCCGTCTTTCCTGTTCACATTCATCCCAGTTGTCAGTTATTATGCCCTAACCCTTCTGTAGTCCACCCTCCCTGTGTCACAGGTGAGCTAACACTGGTCTGCTTCTACTACCACTGACCCCTAGGCCTTTGTTCTCCCTACATGAGGACAGCTCATCACTGCTGTCCCAGTTGGGCACAAGAGACATACAGGAAAAGGAAGTTGCTGTTGTTAGACTCTAAGCCCTAAGACTGGGACCCAAAAATGCTTCTGAAGTGATAGGTGGCTTTAGAGCCAAGCCTTCTGATTTGAAAATCTGGGAAGTAGAATTTTTTTTAAAATAGGAAATCTTGTTTTTAAATATTGGGAAATAATAAAAATATTTTTAGATCGCTGAGCCAGCCAAACAAAACATGCCCAAATCTGTGACTGCTGCACTAGGTGTTTCTCTGTGGGCCCCAGCCTACCGCATGGCAGCCTACTGGTCCCTGCTGTGCAGTTTTTCAGGTAAGGTCTGACCTCAGACCACCCAGGAGCTCCTAAGCTCCAAGACCAGGACTCATTGGCAGAGAGGTGCTGGCTCCGTGGAATGCACGCACCAGGTGGGGCGGGGCACTGGCCATGCCAATCTTCTTCGGGTGTGATAAAAGCTGCTGATTGTGATCTATAAAGCCCTGGATGGCTGGTGTGCTGGTTACCTCAGCACTGCTCCTCTCCCCATGGGCTGGAGGACAACCTCAGCTCTCCCTCTAGCAACTCACAGTGAGCCTTCGGTGATCTGGGAGCCAGAGGCTGGGTGGCCCCGAAGCAGCATTAAACTCCAGCAAGTCATCTCATATTCCTGGCCACCAAGAGAGCGGAGCAGGCAGCCTCCTGGCCACTGTGGGAGCCCTGATATTTAGGCCATGCCTGAGGAGCACAGAACATGTGTTGTCCTTTGTGATGACTCAGGGCTTTCAGAGAAAACATAGGAGATCCTCCCCACTCTGCCTCAAGTTCACACTGGGGTTTCTGCTTAGACACCACAGCCAGCCTAGTTTCTGTCCTTTCTGCAAGGAGCATGAAATGAGGGCCAACGCTTTTGGCAGACTGTTTCGACTCAACAATGTAAAAATGAGCTGGAGTGGGTTGTGGCAGGCAAACCTCCTCATGTTTTAGAACAAACAACAATGTGCCCTTGTCCCCCATCAGGGTGGGAGCAGGGAGAAACCCTCTCAATTTTCTCTCCTTCCCCATCTGAGCCGATCCTGCCATTCCTTCTCCAGAGAAGTCAGGCAGGCGGGTAGCTTGCTTTCCCGGCTCTGGGGAGCACAAATGAGAGTGCCATGGAAACCTCAGAATGTGCAGGACACTGCAACAAGGACAAAACTCTTTCCGGTCCAGAAACAAAATCCTGTGCCTTTCATGAGGGCTATGGATGGGCCCTGGGCCTCAGCCCAAAGACGGAAGGAGCAAGGGGACAGAGGGAGTCTGAGACCTACTCCAACGCCTCACATCCCAGCCCGACATGGCACCATAGCAATGGAGATACTCGGGTCTCTAAACAAGAAAGCTTTACAATTCTGAGACACAGCTGCTACCCCGCTCAGGCAAAATAAAAAAGACACCAGGTGAAGTCTCACAACAGAGGTGACTCCACACACAAAAGCAGCCAATCTCTGCCTTCACTGCAGCTACAAAACACCATGGAATACCCCATACAGGGCACTCACCGATATTTGGATGCTTCAGAAGTCGGCATATCCGGGCCTCACGTTCTAGTTTCTGGTGATCTTAAAGCAGAAGAAAGAAAAAGAAGTCATCAGCCACGCATTCTATTAATGATCCCCTGGCTATTCATATTCCTTCACTTCTCAGGCACCGATGTACTTCTGGCAATTAGGTGAATTAACACTGCAAGTCATAGCAATCTTGAGATAGTTATTATGACCACTTTTTCCAGGTAAGAAACTTAATGACTTGAGAGGTTAAATCTCAAGCCAGTGAGTGGCCGAGTCAAAATTGAATCCAGGTGTTAGCTAAAACTCTGGTGATTTCAGGCCAGGGATTTAGCTCAGTGGTTCAGCTGTCTGCCTTGCAAGCGAAAGGTCCTAAGTTCAATTGCCAGTACCAAAAACAAAACAAAACAAAATTCAGGTGTTTTTCCCTCTACCATAGAGATTTCTTTCTTGTTGGAAATACTAATACAATAGTCCCCTCTTTTCTGAGGCAAAGATGTTCCCAGATCCCCAATGGATGCCTGAAACGATGGATCATACATCTTATACAAAAGCACTATGATACTGTGACACTGTCCATCTGATAGTCAAAAAAAAAAGACCACTAAGTGACTAATGGTCAGGTAGCTTATACGACATAACTATTCTGGACAAAGGGATGATTCATGTCCTGGGGAAAAGAAGCAAAGCAGCAAGGTATTTCATCATGCTACTCAGGCAGTATGCAATATAAAACTTCTTAACTAATTATTTTTGGAATTTTCTGTTTAATATCTTTGAATTGTGGTTGGTAACAGAACTGAAACTGCACAAAACAAAACAAGATATGGGGGATTAGTATAATAGTTGAGTTTAGTGTAACAGTTAAGTTTTACTGAGCCTAATATATGATTAGGCACAATGCTAGGAGTTTTGTATATACCATCTTATGTAGTCATTCTGGCAACTCTGAAACATAATGATGCTGACCAATTAAGATGCTGATAACCAAGGTAAGATTTCTGCTTGTTTCTTTTTTTTACAGTGCTAGAGATGGGACCCAGGGACCTGATGTATGCTAGGCAAATGCTCTATCGCTAAGCTACATCTCAACCCTGGTGACTCAAAATAATACTTTAGGTAACATTTACTGAGAATTGACATCTGTACCATGTGGATACATCTTTTGATTTACTCTCATAATAACTCTAGAAGGATGGCACTAGTTTGATGCTATGTTATAGACAAAATAGGATACAAATCCTGCTTCTCTCCCCTGTCCTCCTGGCCATCCACTGCTGTGAGCTCTAACCTGTTCACACTCAGGCTCCAAATTACTTTTTTTTTTGGTACCTGGGATCAAACACAAGACCTTGCGCTTGCGAAGCAGGTGTGGCATCTCTGAACTAAATCTCAGGCCCTGGATTACTCTATTTTGAGGAAATAACCAGAATTTGTGAGTCCTCAGATCAAAGTGAGCTGCATGGGTCAAGTCCTTGCATAGGAAGGCAGAGTACAAAAAGGCAGAGCCCAGAAAATGCTGCTCAGAGTAAGGAAGCCCAGAAGCCTCCTTCTCTACTCTATTGGGGAACTCTGTCTATAAAGACAACTTCTTCATAAGGCCCTCCCTGCTTCCCTGTGAGAAGGTGACTTCTCCTTCCTGACTACTATTCATCCCCCACTGTACTTCCAATGATTCACACATCACAGATCCCAACAGTCATCTTTTGGTCACAAATTACTCAAATGGGGGACCCTTCTTTTTCTTTCTTTTCCCAGTACTGGGAATTGCACTCAGGACCTTGCACTCGCCAGGCAAGCGTGGCACCACTGAGCTACATCCCCAGCCCTGGGACTTTTCTAATAGTTCCTGGAGTTCTTTCGGTAAACAGGAGCTCTAGCCAGGGATTTAGCTCAGTGGTTCCACAGCCTGCCTTGCAAGCACAAGGTCTCGAGTTCGATCCCAGGTACCAAAAACAAACAAAGAAACAGGAGCTCCACAGGATTATCAGTAATAATAGTGGCAGTAACAACCATCCCTTACAAGCATTTACCACACTCCAGCAGCGGCAAGGATTATCATTGTTCACCCTTACATCCTGTTAAGCAGGAATCTGATTAGCTCTGTACAAATGAGGAAAGTGAGGCTTAAAAGATAAAGTACTGTAACTGCCTAAGGTAGTAGAGAGGAAGTACACACGGGTGGGCTGGGCCTAGATCCCTTTTTCCCTACCGCTGTGCCATGATGACTGAGTAAGGAAAAGTAAGAGCAAAGATGGTAGGCTTTGAGGGGCAGAGTTCAGTGCAACCCAGCTCCCTAGGTCAAGCAACTCCTACCTTTCTCAGAAGGGGTTTCTCTCCACCCCCACCTCTACCCCACACAGCAAAGTCTCTTTAAAGGCTCCTATGGCTCTAACAATGATCCCACCAGGATCCCATGCTAGGCTCCCATTTTTATAGATAATGAACTACTGAGGCCCAAAGAAATTAATTAACTTGTCAAAGGTTTCACAGCAGCAAAGGGATAAACTAAGATCTAAACCCTGGCCCATCACTCTGAGATAATGTAAGGATTTTAGATGAGAAAGAACTCATAGTTATTGTTTCACCAACCACCCTCAGCTTTGTGCTAAACTCTCCCTCCAGCAACAGCTCTACTTCGTGGAAGGAGGTGGGGACTGGCAGAGATTAGTTTCTGCTGCCCAGCTAATCTAACCCAGCTGCCCACAGATCTGGGTCAGGCCTTCCTTCCCATCCTCAGACACAGCATGGCCACTGCTCAGGAGGCAGCCACCCCAGATAATTCCCAGTGCCCACATCACCTGGAATCCCTTATTGCCAAAAGGATATGGCCAGGGACTTCTATCAGCCAGGGCACTCAAGGAAGCAGCAATGGTAGTCATGTTGGCGGTGGGGGATGGGACTTGCTCCTTCTAGATCTGGCCCTATGTCAGAGCCACCCCACCTTCCTCCTAGCCTTGGAGCTGAGCCAGAGGTACCGAGCCAGCCACCTGCCAAACTAGACATATTGGCCCTGTCTCTGACCACTCACCTCATCACCCTTGACCCACAACTCTTGGGCTTGGCTGCCTGGACAGGTGTGGGAAAACAGCATCTTGCAATGCGGAGGTGGCAGCTGAGGCTGAAGGCATAGAAGATTAATGTTTATCTCCTCCCTAAAGTCTCTTACTGGCTAATGGTTACGGCCCCACAACAGCAACAGCACTAAAAATAAGAAAAGGCTCTCTGGCTTTACCAGTGACTCAGCGTGGAGACAGGAGACACAGACTTAGGCTCTCTATCCCTTGAAGGAGCTTCCCAGGGTCCACAGGGCCCTTACCAGTCATTTGGTTCGAACAAGGAGCTGAGCCCCAAGTTCTGGGCAAGGCCCACGTCTTCTCTGAACCCCAGGGCTGTGCTTTGGTCCTTACCCTCATTCTAAGCCATGGAGTAGAGCAATTAACACATCAGTTTTGGAGTCAGACAGCCCTGGATTAAGTCCAGCACTGTGATATCTGGCAAGTTATTAAATGCACCTAAGCCTCATTCAACCCTTCAAAATGTATTTATCGAGGCCTACCACGTGACAGATACTGTTCTAGATGCTGGGGAACAGCAGCAAACAAACCAGATGAAACCCCCACCCTGGAGGGGCTCACATCCTGGTAGGCCTGTGGGAGGGAGAAGGACAGGCAAGAAGCTCAGCTTGTAGATGATGCAGTAAGTGCGATGTAGAAAAATGAAGCAGGAAAAAAAAAAAAATGAAGCAGGGAAGGGAGAAAGTGTAAGTTTGAACAAGGTGGCTGGGGAAGCCTCAGTGAGAAAGCGACATTTGATTTGGACCCAAAAGAGGCAGGAGTGAGCCAGATACTTAGCTTGGGAAGAAGTTTCTTATTCTAAGATGTAAACAGCAAGACCTGAGCTTTAAATGAGGTAATATGAGTGGAATACTTAGCACAGTATGACAGAGGACAAAGATCCCTGGGCTAGGCTTATTGCCACAGCTTATGCCACAGACAACAGAGAGAGCAGGACCCACTTTCCTCTCCATCTGGGCAGATGCAGGTCCAAAATATAACACCTGTGCCCTCTGAGCCACTCCTATGGCTTCTCATGAGCCCAGGCATGGCTCACCCACATCTACAGCCTGCAGCTGAAGGCAGGCAACAGGGGCTCCTAGCAAGAGGACCACCGCAGGGAGTGTCACTGCCTGCAGGGTTCCTCTTCTTCCTCGGCCTTGCTGGTAATGGTGCCCCACCATCTATCTCAAAGCTCTCCACTCAATGAGGTAGGCAACTTCTCCCCAGCACACTCTCCCGGCCTCCTTTTCCAGAACAGCTCAGTCACCATCCTATTCCCTCCAGCTGCTGCGTCCTGTTTCTTTCCCCTACAATTCCCGCCCTGTGGTCACCTCTAGGGCTGGTCCATGGCTGGGAAATGGCATAGTGTTCTGCCCCAGCATATTTCCCAAGTGCAAGGGCACTCTGGCTGAACACAGTATCCTGGCTGAACATGGCATCCTCAACCCCAAACTCCCTACCACAGGGGTAGGGAGAGGCCCTGGCTCCGCATCCCAAGGCACTAAACACTAGCTGGGCTCTTGCCACAGAGGCAGCCTCTTCCTTGAGACACCTCTCCTTCCAGGGACCACCCATCCACCTTTCTGCTGGGCTCCTCCCCACCCCCTCCCACAGCCCAGCCCCCCCTTTCCTGTTTGACAACAGCCACTTCCCGCTTTGCACAGGGCCACTTCCTGCCTGCCCGTGTGCTACTCCCATGGAGACCCACCCCTGTCGGCCCTCAGCCCAGCTTCAACCACAGCCCTCTGCAAAATTTTCCCCCTTAAGAGCAGAGGTAGCAACAGGAGCAGAAAGCAGAAGCGGCCTTATCAGGGGCCTGTCCGCCTGGGTCCTCCCCCAACACTGGTCCAGGGCAGAGCCAGCCTCCAGGAAACGAGGATCCCAGCAACCCTGCCTTTCTCCTGCCTTCTGCCCAAGTGCTTCAAGGCTTGGTCAAGTATGCCACAGTTTCACAGGAAGGGCAACAAGCTGTAAGCAGATGCACCAAGGCAGAGA